CCATTTATTTCGTTTAATAAGGATGTTTCTATGAAAAGTTATTGCAAATCTCGTTGGGAAACAAATTTTCAACAAAAACAAATTAAAATGTTTTGAAAGACTTGAGGAAAATTGTAATCGGTGCATTTTGTAATGTTGCACTTATTTGTTGCAGTGTAAACATTTAATTACATATGAGCAACTTTTATTAATTGAGCACTACTAAATATGAAACTCAGTGTACTACAATAGAAAGGAGGATTACATAATTAATAGTTTTAGTTAATAATTACTAATCTAGTATTTATTAACAATAATTACACTTAATATTTATTAAGTTTTATTAGTTACGATCAAAGCATTTTATATACACTAAGGAATTTAATATAATTGGTTTAAAGATATATTTATTTTTATGGATTATTTTTGTAAAATTAATAGAATTTAATTTTAATTCTCTCTTAATATTTTAAAATATATGCTTATTTGAAGCTCATTAACTAAAACTTTAATTTCATAAGTTATATCATCATTTATCCTCATTCATTCTTAATGTATATTAATGTATATATATTGTTCTTAATGTACAGAAAATAAATTACATGCTTAAAATATTTTTTGTTTATTACTATTAATTATAAATAAAAGGAATTGTTTACGCATATAATAGACATTATTTACCTATCATAATCCACATATAGTTTAATGTTATATGTTATATAAACATTTCTGAGTCCTAATAAAATTTGTAATTATTATTGTTTCTTTAGCAACCAATCTGAGCAGATCAGGATAACAAAGACATAAAACATGACTGATAATGGTTCTTTGTCTTTGGTTTTACCATGTCAAGAGCAGCATATTATTGATATTCACTGACTATTGAATCAATTTAAATTAAATAATTTAGCACAATATGTTTATTAAAAAATTGTATCGAATAGGTAATAGTTTTTCTTAAATTTAAAGCAGAATCTTTATTTATCTTTCACCCTTTAATTTTATATCTTCTTGAACCTCTGTTCAAGTATACAAGGCACAATGTCTGTTAAGTGTCGTAGTACAGACGTAGCGATAATGTCTTAAAATCATACATATAATATAATGCTCTATGATGCCTTCATTCATTTCATTTATTCATTTCTCGTAAATCTTGGTGCTTAACATCAGTTTTAATATAAGAAAATTATGCTCTACTAATATGAAACCATCACAAAAAAGGCCAGATTATCACATTATGTTAAAGATATGCTACACAATAACAATTACACCAATATTTTCATACCTTTCACAAGATTTGTTTTGATATTTTGATACTGATCGATTTTCGAATGATTGCATGAAGTATCAAAAATCATCTCATTTAGAAGCTTTTCTGTTTTAGAAGCTATGAAACTTATAACTTTCTATTCTTCCATATAGCATTAATATACAATATTAACAATTAAATATTTATATTTTTCAAAAATAAAAAAAAAGAAGTCCGAAGTATATTCAAAAGTACTAAGGATGTTAATATTTTATAACAAATGGTGATATTTTACGCACAGAACTCTGAAATTAAAATGCTTACGTCGACCAGATTAAGAAATTCCACTAAAAACATCCACGACCTAACCAGCTTGACAGATATTCTATAAATATAGTTTAATGAAATAATTCCCATTAACTCTCCCTGAGCTTGACTTTAAAAATTTTATAAAATTTTTACAAAACATAGTTTTACACTCGATACGAGTGTAAGCAAATGAGTTACTTGGGAAGAAGAAACAGCTGTGTCCACTACTAAAACTATCTATTTAGAACTAATAACGATTCGAGGAATGAATTGTCAATAAATTTCATTTGTTTACTTGATTAACAGCATAATTGAATTAACTATTTTCTTTGTTTTGCACTTCTTTTCAATTAAAATTACATTTTAAAGAAAATTTGAGCATTACATATTTGTATTACATGGATCAGTTTCACGAGTTGAGACTTTAAAATAGCTTTTAAAATAGAAATGATTTATTTGAAATGAAAGATTAGCATAGATTTCTTTGGATATTTAAAATTTTTTCTTGAAAATTAATTGAAATCTGTTAGTAATTGTGTGAAACTTGATAACCGAAATAAATTTTTGTTTGGAAGAATTTGAAGACTCATCTATATACTTTTATCAATTTATATCTCATGCTTCTGGTGCGGCACTACATAAAAACGAATTTTCAATAAATAACTTAATTATAGCTTAACAATCTTCTGTGCTATCTATATTTTAGAGCGTGAACTTTTTGGATGAGGCCGTTTTGTACATAATGTTCATTTATTTGACTGTAATAACGACTGACTTACTACATAAGAAAATTTAGGTAAGGACTTATAAAACTATTTAATATTAATATGTAAAATTTTTGGAAATGTAAAGTTTAATATATACATATTGTTACTAAAATAATAATAACTGTTTTTGTAAGCCATTTCTACTGTCATCTGACTATGGTTCTATCATTTCAGAACATTACATTCCATTTTTTAGCAAGTAATTTTATCTGAAATTGCATTTTGTATAACGCAATGCACTCATGCAATCGTGTGGCTTCATTATTGTAACTGCAATTGTTTATTAAGCTACACGCAAAAGTTATTATTGTGTGGAGTACAAGGCCGGATATAAACGCAATTTTTGTCTACAAACTGCATAACATGAAAAATACCTAATTTCATGTAATTTGTTATTACTTTGTTTATTGGTTTAGGCAATCTTCAAATGTGTATTTAAAACCTAATCACGGCTTTTGATTGTGTGTTGCATTGAACAATTATGGAAAAAAACACAATAACTGTTGGTTTTGTTTTATTCAGAGCAGAGCAAATTGTTTCAAGTGGTATTTAATTACATTTTACGCCAATAATTTTAGTTTTAAGCTAAACAAAAATTTATGGTTTTAAATATACTGATAAATAAACGCATTAAGTACAACATGGCGTATGATTAACCTTAACCACTAACATGGCATTACTCAGTACATGAGCTCTAAACAAAAAACATACATCCTAATAAATGCAAAAATGGACTTTTAAGTACTGCACACAAAACATTAATTTTGGTCAATTGTACAAGTATTCTACAGCGCGAAGGAGCATTTTATGTCTCGAAAACGAAACACGCACAGGCGATTATTCATTGCAACATTTAGTTTGGTCCAGACACTCTCAACTCTTAACTCTAAAAAACCTAAGAGCAATACGACGACCGACTGTATGTATAACCCTTTACTGTCTTAATCCCTTAAATGTAAACGGTTAAGGACTCCTTAGGTAGTCGTTATCACAATTGCAGCATTAAAATGTTGACAAAGAAGAAATGAAAAAGGGCAGGGAACGGTTTTTCTTAAGACAAATGTTGGGGGGTTAATAAACTGAATTAAGCAGCATAAACATAAACAAAAAAAGGAAGATTCGAGTTTTGGTTGGACTAATGTCTGTAATAAAATGAGTTAAGAACTATGTAGACATCTTAAGTAAATTAAATTAAAAGTTTTATTAAGATTTTTTTTTAAATTTGTTTATTATTTTATGACACAAAAAATATTTGTTTTAAAATTGTTTGAAAGTTCTTTTAAAGAAGAACTTTTTTTTCTCACTGTGATTCAAGTGTTACATATATTTTATATATATATTATGAGTACAATAAATGGCTCGAATATGAATATCATGAAAAGATTAAATCATACCTAACTCATATCTTAGTTCCATTATCTTGATGTAATTTTTTTTTAACTTAACAGCGTTGTGCAGTTCCATTTCTAATTACAAGATACAATTTAAAAATATAATTGAATTATAACAATATTAAGTATATGTGCTTAACTAAAAAAACTCCAAGTGCATATTCTTTTGGCTGTATGACGTTAATGAATAAATCTTAAAACCGCATAATAACTTTTTATAACAAATATTGTCAAAAGATATAGGAATTCAGGGAATGCAGTTTTTTGTAATCAAGTAAGTTCATACTAGTGATGGAATATCCAACGAATTTTGTTGTCACTGCCGTAGACTCACCCAGATTCCAAAATAAAAACAATTCATATACAAAGCAAACTATATTTATTTGAAAAATAAAAAAACAATATATTAACACAATTATTTCATCAGATATCATTTCTTCAAAAATATAAATTTCTATTAAAAGAAAGTTATCCGACATGAAATTTCACTTGTCAGCTGGAAAATAGAATCAATATAATTATGATTGTAATATCAGAGAAGACTGAATTATATGCACCTTCGAAAGAAGAGAAAAATCTATTTACTAATACATATTATAATACAAACACTTTCAGGAACAATTTTTGACT